TTCTTCTTCTTCTTCTCCTTCTTCTTCTTCTTCTTCTTCTTCTTCTTCCCCTTCTTCTTCTTCTTCTTCTTCTTCTTCTTCTTCTTCTTCTTCTCCTTCTTCTTCCTCCTCCTTTTCTTCTTCTTCTTCTTGCCCTTCTTCTTCTTCTTCTTCTTCTTCTTCTTCTTCTTCTTCTCCTTCTTCTTCTTCTTCTTCTTCTTCTTCTTCTTCTTCATTCTCTTCCTTTCCTAGTCTATTTCCACTTCTTTTTTAAGTTGCAAAATACTGCATTGTTTCGACGATGAGTTCTTGAATTGTGAATTGAGCAGAGTCATAACAAAAGGCAACTTCCTAGAGGGTCAACAAAGGCAGCAAAACAGAGGGGGATGGAGTAAAAGTATAGGAGTCCTGAAGGCAGAACTGGGCGCATTGTATGATGACTTTCATGCCCAGGATGCCGAGGTGGCGAATGGGCATGACTGATATGTCCAGGTAGGGGGTCGTATAGCTGTTGTTTTTCCCCTACTTGGGCCTACCGTCTTTGCCCGAATAAAACGCCCAGTCATTATAGCTGTATCTATACTTAAAATTGCACCAAATACGACGATAATGACAGGGCATTCTATCGGATGAAGAAGGTAGTAATTGATTTTTGCCATCACTCTGCTCTTTCTCCTTTTCATCCCAGCTGTGCATTGTGTTTCTCTTTATGCACGGTGTCGGGCTGCTGCCTAACAGCCGGATAGTAGCGGATACTCCTTTTTAATAAAATAGAAGAAATTTGAATGTGTTTTCTCTTTTTTTTTCACGATTTTGATGTATGGATGCATGTGACTGAGGGGTATAAACTGGACCCGGAGGCCGGAGAAGTTGCCCGACAACGGAATCACTGACATTGGAAAGTTCAGTGCGTTACATTCACAACTCCTCGCTCACTTTCTGTATACGGTAGGCTGGGCAGCATTCTGTCTGTACCTGAGGGCTCGTATACCATATTGCACTCGAGGGTGGTCTCTGTTTTGCTAACTCCGTGGTCACATCGTTCTTTGCCTCACACGCTCTGTCACGGACTGCCTCGGCTGAGGCTTTATCGTGTACCGGCGGCAGCATACTTAAAGAGGTTTCTGAGAGGTTTCCGACATCTCTTGCCAACTTACAAGTGAGTAAGTCGTTGTTCTCAAAGCCAGACCTGAGTCGAGATGCCCCTGGTGGGCCACGACATCTTTACGCCCTTCCTCTTTAGCCATAGATTATTTTCATCCATACGGCCAAGGAGAGAGATTGTGAGGATGTGTGGCAGACCCATATAGCTCTTAAGCACAGATGGTTAATGAAGTGTGCAGTTTTCGTCAACGAGTTTCCCGAATTCCCTGATCTTGGGCTGATGAGCCAGGGAATCCTCGCCACGCTACTTATGTTCAGAGGCTGGGCTGTGGGACATGTAATTTACTAATTTCTCACTGCTTGGTCACCACGCTGCTGGACCAGCTGGAGTAGGATAGCTCCCAGCAGTCAGGTAGGGGGTTAGAGGTTAGAGGTAGTAGTAGGCACCAACGGCCATAGCCGGAGTCCGAGGAAGAGGTTGATTCCAATTAACCGGCCACCATAGCTTAGTGCTAGGAGGGAGCTACCGTGAGGACTCTCTGAGGAGTTGGAGAAGACTTATCTTGGAAGTAGAGAAGAGGTAGCGGATGTCTGAATTTGAAGAGATGCTTGAGGGTAGGAGGTTGGAACAGTGGAATCATAATTTGAAAGTCGGGGGTTCGAATCCCTTTCCCGCAAGTCGTCTATCTATCTATCTATGCTTTCTTCAAGATAGTATATATACGGTAGGTACCCTTGAATTCTCCAATTACGAAACGAAAGGTTTGTTTGATTTGATATAGGAAAATTAATTATACTTCCATTACAGGAGAAAGGGATTCAATTTTCAAACCCTTAACCTATGGATTTGGAGACCATTGTTCTCCCATTCAAACTATTCTCGTCACAAAACAAAGTGTGATTGGTTTATGGAATTTGCAACTTTAACCCTATCGCTGCTTGATCTTCAGTGAGGTCAGTTACCAGGGAGTGTGTCTTGGCTGAGAGAGCTGCCCGCTTCCATCTCTCTCCTCTCCTCCCAATCTCTCTCTCTCTCTCTGGGTTCTGAGCAGCCATCTCAGGGATGAGCATTGTTTGGAAAGAGACTGTATAATGTTTGTGCTTCTGACAGTAGTTTAATATTGAAGCGGGATTCTTGGCCCCGTTTGGGATTGCATCATTGCACACTAAACTTACGGATGAATCGTGAGAGACAGAATGGCAATGACTGTTCGTGTCTGTGTGTTGTCAAATTCGCTAAACACAACTCTACAAGACAAGCATGACTGTGCCACACTGTTTCCTCGGACCTTCACCGACTATCAGGACGCTGAACCCCCCAGGATGCCTTTGACAGACCGATGGATAAGGACTCACCACGTCGTCCAGAGTTAGTGATACCCTGTAATCCTAGCAGACTGTCCGTCCAATCCAAACCGCAGTGGTCAACTTCACTCAGACCAACCCTGTAATCATAGCAGACTGTCGGTCCAAACCGCTGACAAGAATGGCTAGTAGGTCTAAGAAACTAGTCTGTCGCAGGCTCACAGCCATAAAACCCACTGTACACACCCACTCAACCATGGATATAAAGTGTATTATAAAATGGCATTCTGTGTGTGTGTGTGTGTGTGTGTGTGTGTGTGTGTGTGTGTGTGTGTGTGAG